CAAAGAATTCAAAGTCGACCACAAATGCTTGGGCCTTGTATTCTTCTTGTTTAATTCTTTGTCCTTTTATTTCCAAATTCTGTCTAACTCTCCTCAACAAAATTTCTAGTGTCATGATAAAGAACAGAGGTGAAAGTAGACAACCCTGCCTGACTCCTTTTCCTATTTCAAATGAATTTTGTCGTTTCTCCATTAATTATTACCCGTGGTTTTTGGCTTGAATATATTGACTCTAACATTTTTTTGAATTTATTCCCAAATTTCATCTCCTTTACTTGTTGTCTCATAAATTGCCAATTTACTTTATCGAAGGCTTTTTGAGCATCCAGAAAAACTAGTACAGCCTGTTTTTCTGGATGTGCCTCATAATACTCCAGGATATCTAGTACTGTCCTTGTGTTGTTTTTTAGTTGTCTTGTTGGAAGAAAACCATTTTAATCTGTGTGTATATATTTACTTAATATTTTTTTTCAATCTCTCTGCCATTATATTCATAAATATTTTCTAATTGGTGTTCAATAAAGAAATTGGTATGTAATTTTTTATGTGGGTGGTATCTGCCCTTTCCTTTGGTATTAATGTAATATATGCTTCTTTCCACGGCATTAGTAGCTTTGCCTCTGTAAGTACTTCATTATAAATTTCTAAAAGGATTGGATCTAGTATTTCACATAAAATTTTATATAATTCTGCGGGTAATCCATGTGTTCTGGGGGGTTTGTTGTTTTGTTTACTAATTGCCTCTTTTAGTTCCTTCTTAGTGATTTCTTCATTTAATCTTTCCCTTTCAACTCAGAGAACAAGGGGTGAAAATAGAGTGTTGGCCATATTTACAACTCAAGATGAGATATAAAAAAGATATAGAAGAATTTGGAATTGAGGTAAAACCAAACCAATTAGATAAAATATTAGAGGGGACAGATAAAAAATTAATTTCTAAAATGTACAATTATCTATTAGAATTTGAAATGGCGGAAGAAATAGTTAAAGGCCCAATGATTGTATGGGCAAGGAATGTAGGGCACAACATTAAAAGTCTGGAAACAAAATTATAAAATAACAAAACCAGTTGTTTATAAAGAAAAACAATACAAAATGTGTTATCGGGTGGTATCTGGCACCTTCAAGGTTAGCGAATGTGTACCCAAACTTAAATCTGACTTGTTGGAAATGTAAGCAAACGAGGGGTACCTTCTTTCATGCTTGGTGGCTTTGCCTAAAAAGTAAAAGGTACTGGAAAAAAATAGAATTTGGATAAAAGAAATCACAAATATACAACTAGAATATAAGGCCAAAATATTTTGGTTGGAAATGTTAAAAGGGGACTATGCAAAAAAATGAAATACTTAATTCTCCATATAATCACAGCAGCAAGAATTGTGTTGACACAATGCTGGAAGGGTGACCAAATGCCAACAAATAATTTGATAATTCAGAAAGTTCTTGACTGCACTGAAATGGACCTACCTACACAAAAACTTAGGGATAAGGTAGACTCAAAATATACTACAGCTTGGTAAAAATGGTATAATTGGATGGAGAAAAACCAGGAAATTAAAAGATAAGGATTCAAAAAAATGAAGTGATTAAATTAAGAGCATAAACCGAAAATAGAAAATGAATATTAGTAAAATTGTTTTCAAAAAAATGATCACATGGTCTTAGCTGATAAGAAATATATATGTTTTATGTCAATATTTGTATTTGTATGTTGGTTTTGTTTGCAACGAAAAGTTGTATTTTATACACTGTATATATTTTTCTTTTAAATCTTTAATAAAGTTTATTTAAATTTTTTTTTTAAAAAAAACATACTTTGTGATGCATTTACCTAGAAGTGAGATTTGCAGGTTTAATAGATAGGCTAAAATTAAAGTTTTACCATTAGATAGAGCTTGGTAACATACAGCATAAACTTTTTGTACATCTTGAATAATTTTATCTGATTTATATAACATGAATCATATTCTAAATTTATTGATTTATAATTTATATAGCTGCCCATCTCACTAAAAGCGATTCTGTGTGGCAGGCAGCAAAGAAACCCAAACTCTACAGAAGGTATTCTAGAGCCTCTTGTGTAAAAGAAAGATTCCCATTTTGATCACAGTAAGGGGGTTGAAGAGATAGACTTCATTTCCCAATAAGAGTCTTATAATTATTTAAGGAAAAACAATTTAACATAGCTAGCTGTTGCAAGTATTAAACAAATCTCTTGTTGGGCCTAGGGATATAATCCAATCAGTGTTGAATACTTTCATGTCCTGTTGATTTCAGTCAGGGAATTAAGCATGGGCTTTAATTGCTCCCATAAAAGTCAAGAGGAATTAACATGATTTAATGTTGTTGGACACTATTGTTTCTGGTTTGATTGCTTTTAGTAGTTATAAATAAACTTTATGGCTTGAGACATATAAGACTGTTTTCAAAATATTCACACTAAAATCATGTCATATCTGACAGAAACAAAGTCTTGGTAGATTTATTACTGCCTTCAAAAACTTATCAAAGCAAAATGACTTTTGTATAAAGTACTTAAACCTTGCTTTCATTTGTTTTAATTGAATGTGGAAGTAAAATATCTGGAGATAATATGTTCATTTTTATCTGTCACACAAAGAACAAGCTTAGATGTGATGAAATGGATCCAATTACTTATGCTGACTGTTAGATAAACAGAAGAAAACCTCTGATGACATTAGTTGAAGTTTTGTTCCCAAAGTTAATTTCAGAAAACTCTTTCTTTGTAGTCAGACCTTTAATCCTCGATAGAGGTTATAATAATACTTAAATCAGCTCTATGAGTCTGAGAAATAGCAGTCCATATATGAGGCACTGAATTTTCACTTCACTATTTATTTTAAATGTTATTTTATTTACAGTGCAATCATAAACATGTCTGTTAGCAAGTATGACCTACTGAATTCAGGGGGGATTATTTTTTGGCAGCTCATAATTCTGTTCATTTGGTTATAATTTAAGACTTTATTTTTTTTTAGCAATAGCACTTAACATTTAGACTTCTATATTGTTCTACAGTACTTTATAGCACTCTCTTGTGTGGTTTACAATTTCAGCATATTGCCCCCAACAATTTGAGTCCTCATTTTACCAACCTCGGAAAGATAGAAGACTGAGCCAACCTTGAGCTGATTAGCATTATTTTTAAAAAATGATTCATTTTAACTTTTTAATTACATTTTATTTTGTTACTGTACTTCATATATTATAAGAAAATATTGTATTTTCCGTAAAACTGAGAGACTTTGTCAATATCTACATTAAATTTGTAATTGTCAATAATAAGTAATTCAGAACTCTTTTTTGTTTATCTATTCTAAGCATGACTGAATTTGGATATTATACAATTAATAGCCATAAAAGTAATTGTATTTTTTTAAAAAAAGTCACATAAAAAGTTTCTCATTTTCTTACAGATTATATTTTATTTGTTTATTTATATCCCACCTTTATTATTTTTACAAATTACTCAGTATGTAAAAACCCATAACGCTACCTCCCCTCATTTTCCTCATAATGATAATCCTGTGAGATGAGGGGAAGTGGACTGAGAGTGAGTGACTGACCCAGAGTCACCACAGTCCTTGTGCTTCTAGCCTGGTGCCTTAACCAGTTTTATATACTTTAGAGAATAGATATCTAATTAAAATTAATTCAAATTCACAATTATTATAATTACTATTATTTTCATGTGTTTATCTCAATTTAATCTCATAATTTAATCTGCAAGATGTATTAGGTTGAAAGAATTTAGACATAAATTAAATACAAGAATTTAAACATCAGGTTGTTTTTTTTTACTTTTTACCTCTAATATTTCATTGATGTACCACATAGGCTGAATAGAAAATAAGAAATCCACCTTCAAGTACATAGTTGGTTTCTGGGCATTTGCAGGTAATCCTTAATTTATGACCACTGTTCAAAAGTCTGCTGGTGCTGAACTAGGGAGACTTATAACCAGTTCGTGAAATTGTGGCCATTGCAGTGTCCTCATAGTCACATGATCACAATCCAGTGCTCATGGGATTGCCATTTGGAACCTTGCCAACTTCCCGCAAGCAAAGTCAAAGGGGAAAAGGTTGCAAGACACTTCTGTAAGTCACTTCCACCACTTTTTCTCCCAAGAAATTCCATAACAGCGATTGCATACTTTGTAGTGCTCCCTCTCCAACCCATCCTGCCTACTTGCACTCTAGTGTGTGCCCACCACAATCACACACTGCCTGCATTCCCTAGCACCTACTGGTGGCATTTGTTGGCTCACCTGCTCCTAGCACCTGCCTGCAGCACTCTATCACACTCTATAGTGCTTGGCCCTAGCGCTCCCCATTTCCCCAGCACCTACAAATCCTTGACACTCCTTGCCTGAGACTCCCACCTCTTCCCTGCTTAATGACCTGCACAGTCCTAGAATTACGACAGCAACTGGGACTTACCATCACCAAGTGATGTAGTTACTTGATATGCTTTATGATTGAATAGCTTAGTAATGGCAATCTGGGAACCAATTGCCACCTGTACAAATATCAAGAGTTGCTTTCATACCTAGCTATATAATGTGTTGTTGCTCTTCTATCTGTTGCTTTTCCAGTTCCCTACCTTTCTTCTGATTTGAAGCTGGTCATAATTTATTAATTGAACCATAATTAAAGCTATACTATTGTCATAGAATGTAGGTATCATATATGGGAAATATTCCTTGCAATCATAACTAGATTAGGCTAAGACAAAGTAGCTAGCTTAAAGTCACTCTGAAGCTACATACCTTAATGAAAACTTTGCAGTCTGTCTGGAACCTAATCAATAATATATCCTAGCAATTGCCTAATGTACAATGTGAGAAAAAAGATCTGAACAAAAAGTTCCTCAGATATAAGTTGCCTTGTAGTTCAGCAACAGAAGTTGAATGACTAGAGTATTATTATGTTGTCTTAAAAACCAGTGATGCAATGTTATTTTTTTATTCATTCTACTAGGTTAAAGTGGGACATGAAATTACAACTGGAACAGGACCCAAGAAGAAAATAGCAAAACGGAATGCATCTGAAGCTATGTTATTACAGCTTGGCTATAAAGCCTCTTCCTCTACTTCAAGAACAGCCAGAAACGGTAAGGTTTTGTTCAGCTATAAGAAGAAAAATGCCATTGCCTCATGCTTCTTCAATATTTGTTTTCTAAATATGCTTAGTTCAGTTGCTAGTATAGTTATTTGCAATCATCTCAGCCGACTTCTGACAAGCAAAGTAAATTGAGGAAGTTGGATTTGCTTAATGACCTTATAATTTCCTTAAATACCACAGTAAAATAGTTGTAAAATCAATCCAGTCATGTGATGATTAATTTAACAACTGCATTGCTTAGCAATCAAAATTTTGGCCCCGATCGTGGTTATAAGTTGAAGAGTACCTGGATGGTTATTGCCTTCTGTTCGTGTATGGCCTTCTCCTAACCATCTGGTTGATTACTGGGGGAAATGGGACAGTAGAAGCACATACCACTCAACTGTTCTCATTGAACAATCTGGTGTCCTTATTTTCAAAGCATCGCATCTCCTATGTGTACATAAATAATATCTAATAGTAATTGTATTCTTTTGTATCATGCACATTTTATGTTGTTCTTGTGTATATTTATTAGCTAAGGGATGGAATGGTCAAAATGTTGGCTATTTGGAACCACAAAAAATAGTGAAATATTTGTATTCATCCATTTTTACATCATAATAAGATGCAATAATGCATCTTAAAATGAATCATTTTAATATTTGAATCAAAATTATCATTTCAACAAAATTATGGATGATAACTTGTTCAGAATCAATTGCAAATGGTCATCATGTGACCCCTGTATCTGTTGCTGAAGGCCCACATTTGAACATGTGACTATAGGAACACTGCAAGAATTGTATGTGCAAGGATTGGTCATAATTCACTTTTTCAGTGCCATTTGTAACTCTGAATGGTCACTAAATGAATGGTAGTAAGTCAATATCTACTGTACTATAGGAAAGGTACTATAAAATTCAGTAACTAACTGGCTAGCTTGCAAAATACAAGTGACCCTTGCCACCATTGGTTTGTGCCACTAATGTTTTGGGAGAAATAGAGTTGAAAGAACTTTAGAAAATTTATTCAAGTTACCCTTCAGAAGTTATAAGTTTCATAACCTTCTTGTTTACTAACCTAAGGACTATATCTTTTTTCATGCTCTTTATCCTTGTCAATCAGCAGCACTGTAGGCAAAACATTCAAAGATTATCATCCAATAATTCATCACAGATAATTCTGCTTGTTCTACAAATTTCATTGTTTTTCAAAATAAAGTTATGGTCATTAAAGAAATATTAAAGGCATGTAGCTTTACTGTAGTTCAGTAAGGCTCTGCAGACGTTTCTGTGACATTTGAGCATGGTTTATGTATGTAAAATATTTTAACATCTCTGAAAATGTCATCATAACCTGATAAGAAGCAGCACTATAACCATTTGTTTATGTTTTTTCCCATGCTAGATTATGAAAGGGTAGACTATGGGTTTCAAAAATAAGATTGGTTGGAATGAACTAAGCCAAGACTAAGGCATAGTGGGCAGTTTTCACAAATAAGAGTTCTGCTTTGAAGCAGGTCAGGCTGTCCTTGTAGAGTCCTACTGTTCTAGTATCTGTTTTGTCTCATTTCAGTTTTTGAAGAGTAGCCAATTTTTTATCCAAAGCCCAAAATCTAGCTTTTGGTCTGATAATTTACTCAGCTCTACAATGGAAACCATCCAGATATTTTCATGTCAATATTTAATTGAAATATTTTATCAATATTTATTGATCTGAATGTAAAGGAAGCAAAAGTATGTACATTCTCACTCTCCATCTTGCAAAATCTGTTGGGACAAATATTTAAATATTAAGAATTATATATACAAAAACATATTCTATGGATATATCATAGTTGGTATTAGATTCCTGGAAGACTTTATCTTTAGAAAAATATCTATCTTCAGGGCAATGTTTGCATGACCCAATCGTGCCTCATTGCTTATGGCTGTAGCAGCATATGAGGTTTTGCACTAAAACAATATTTTCAGGCAGGCAGCAATGGGTATAGAAGAAAGTACAAATGGAAGAACTGATTACTGCAATCTACACAAAAGCCCACAACTCTCTTACTCTGGCCGACTGTCCCTTTTTTTATCTTCAGGCCATCACTTACCCTACCCTTCCTCTGTTCATCATGAGCTTCTCCATGATTTTTTCCCCTTGTCCTTTCCCCAATTTGGCCACACAAATCAGAAGGCAAGCTGCCAGAGGAAGGGCATTTCCTCCCCCACCATTCAACTTTCAGGCTAATCTCCACAAAATGTCCTATAAACCAGATGTATTCTTCTGGCAAGGAAAGCAGAATTTTTATTACAGAAGAAAAGCAACAGCAAATGTGGCAGATGTAACATATCACAAGCCCCACAAGGAGCATAAAGTAATCCAATAGAAGCAGAAAGGGAGGAAGCAAATCATACGCAAGTACCTTAGGCTATATCCCTAGCACCAGGATTTCTAAAATAGGAGGGTCATCATTATGGCCACATCATCTATGCCGGATGCAAGCAGTTCTCCAAACAGTATTATTTGGAGCTTTGTTGTTTACATTTTGAAGTATATTGCAGAGTTTGTGAGTATTTTCACAGCTTAGGTGTGAAGAGACTGCCAAGGGTTTTTTGGAATTATTGATTGTAAGTAAATCCCTGCAGAAGGAGTACTGTATTTGCAAGCTGTGTGATGTAGCATGGCTACTTGACCTGGCAGCCAATAAGCATTAGGGATATGTGCTCAGTCGCTGTCAAGAGTGAATTTTAAAATAAATATCCTGGCTTTTCTGGCCAGTCTTCTGAATCCTTTTTCTTGAAGGACAGGGTATCTAAGTTGGGCAACTGGAGCGAAACTTTAACTAAAAACAAATCCAGGACTATTTTAATCAAATGGTCTACAACCAACTGGATTGAAGAATTCCCACAAAACATTAACCCTAATTAAGCCTGTCATGGGAACACAGCAAGAATAAACCGTTTGTGATTACTTATGCAAGAGGTGATTATCTAGAGGAACTACTTTTATCTATAAAACAAGACAAATTGTATTCCATGCACAGATTTCTCAGTTAACATTCTGGCATAGGGAAGAATAGTATTTTAAGTAGAAAATTTGTGAGCAGTAGGGAAGCTGTTCCCCTCTGCTAATTCTCTTTAAAAGCGATTGGTTTGGGTTCCCCTTAGTTGACCTTATTTATGGTTGCAGAACTGTGGAGAGAGATTGTGGAGAAGAATTCTTGGGTGGAGAGAAAGATCCACGTAGATTTTGAGATTCCCACAAGACTTCCTTGCCTTTTGGTGGGCGAGTTACTGAGTATGAAGAATAGTGTGAAAGATATTGTGACAAAATTACAGATGTTAAGGAACTGTTAGGATAAAATGCAAAAGTTGGAAATGTGAAGGAGTTAGCTTTAGAATTAAAGGAAATTATGAAAGTGGAGTGAAATAGAAAGAAGGGAAGACACAGAAGATGGAATGTCAGAAGTTGCTGAAAATGGAAAAATGTGTCATCTAGAAAAGGTTCAGGGCTGGTGGAATGTGAAGTAAGTTATTTATACGATAGAATTGATCGGGCAGAGCACAGCCTGAGAAGCAAAGTTCCCAGCTAAGGAATGCGTAGTACCCAGTGTTAGATGAAGAGCAGCATCAGCTGGGCAATATGGAACGGTGAGAGAAAGTTAAGACTAATGCCAATGTCAGAACACTATTGAAGCCATACTCTTATCAAATATCAGAGTTAGAGAGAGAAAAGTTCACTTTCTTTGAGAATGGAGGGCTTGAGATTTGTTTTTATAGAGAAATCATTCAGAAACAGGACAATTTCAATAATGGGTGTGCTTGGCGCTCTGATTAGAGCAGTCAAAACCATTCACTTGTTTTATGGGGATAATTTTATGGAGCTTATTTCACTTTTATTATTACATCTTCCCAGATCGGTTAGAGATCTTTCTCAAGGTGAACAACCCCAAACAGCCAAATTTGGGGTTGTTACTTGTGGAAAATGTGAGAGTATTCTGATGTAACCTCTGGCTCTGTTATAAATGGAATATTTTTATTTTAAATCTGTGCCATTAATATAGAAATATATAATGTAATAAAGATCAGTTGTGTTATATTTAAAGCTTCCCTGATTAAAGTTATGAATAATATTACATGCCTAGAACTATTCCTGGATAGGAATAAAATTATAAATAATTTGAGAGAAACCAGTTGGTAGTAGAAACATATTATTGGTTTTTCCCCAATATTTTTTAAAAAATTACAAATATCAAAAAATCAAGAGTAAATATTTTTAATTCCAAATAATATATTTTCAGTCAGACAACCAAGTATATCAAGTAAATTATCTTTTGAACTTTAAAATAATGATTGAACATAATTCACCAAGCTTGTTGGGATGTATATTTTTTCTATATGCACTGGGAATAAATTCTGGGCACATCTAAAATATTCATGTGAAAATCAAAACCATGGAAATCCTTTTATTTCAAAACACTTGTTTTTCTTCGTAACTCATTTATTACTCTGGACTTATGCATGAAACCAGGAACTTTGTTCCTTAGGAGTCCATCTGCTCCTGCTGTTTGTTCACCATCTGAAATCATAATCATCTGTTTGTGACACACTAATCATTTTCACAGTAACTAATTGTGATGTCACAAACAGATGATTATGATTTCAGGTGGTGAACAACCAGCAGGATCTAATGAACTTCGAAGGAACAAAGAAGAAAAAGCATGGGGAAAACAGATATTCATGTCATAGTTGTGGGTTTTTTTAAACAAATTGAAGTTTGCATGAATATAGTTATTTCTGATCTTTGGACAGCACCAGGTAGGAAAACATGTCAAAACATTTTTAATCCCTAGTTGACTAAATCTCCCAGAAACACATTGTCATTTACTTCATTGTTTTATATAAACAAAGTACACCAAGACAGATACTATGAAATACAGCATACTTGCAAGTATTTTATGTGAAATGAGACCCTCATTTTATAGACCTTGTGTTGAATAATTTTGTGAATTCTTTCTTG